TTGATGAAAACCTCCTGTGGCGTCGAGGGTTGAAAAGACAGAACTTCCCGCAAGTTTCTGTAATATACAGTCAATGGTTGGTAGCACAAATCTCTCGCGCTTAACCGATTTATTAAGTTTTCTAAAGTCAACCGTCACGCGAATTTTTCCTGATTTTGAGACTACCGGGACCATGGGTTAACACCACTCAGTAGGCTCAGTTATCTTGGCAATAATGCCATTGGATTCCATTGATTCGAGTTTTTCTTGTAATGGTTTCATTATAGGAAATGGAACGCGCCTCGGTACCACAACAGCATATGGTTCAGCATCTTGCTTCAACTCAATTTTGACAGGCTCACATTTCATTGTACCCACTTCCCCATACAATTCATTATCATTTATGGGGTCTTTTACATGACCTGGCATTTCAGAAGTATTGTTACTATAGGGCATTGTAGTTTTATTTCTATGGTTACCTGGATCAGAATCAATTTTACCTGCCTCGCTCTGAGAGGTCTGATGTGTACATTTTTAGTAACTAGATTCAACATTTTAGCAGATCTGCGACACAATAAGTTATCACACTTTGGCCCATTTAATACAAATATTCTCATTGAAAATTTGGTACCATCAAGATTGCTATTTGTTATAAAATAACCTCTTGTATCTATTAACCCACCTACAGACTTCAGTGGAGGACCATCATGCCTTTCTAACCTAGGTTTTGGTGTAAGGCATTCATATGCATTGTTACTCATAACATTAACATCAGCGCCTGTGTCAATCTTGAAACTCATCAATTTACCACAAATGGGTAAGGTCACACGCCATGGTGGCTCTGTGTGCCTATCTACAATCAGTGACTTGGCAGAATCAACCTAATGCACAAGCTCACCTACATGAAACTCAGTAGTGTCAAGATCGGCATCAGCACATTCATCATAACATTCATGTACAACTCTTTTATCAACAGATTTCTTATTTGATTTACACACACTTGAGAAATGATTCAATTTCTTGCAATTATGACAGGTTTTCCCTTTAGCAGGGCATTTATCATTTCTGTGAATGTTGCCACATCTGTCACACTTGTGCTTGTCTGCTTTGTGTTGTGCCTGGTCTTGTTTTCTGTTGTTTTGTTGTGTAGCTCTCTGTTGCGGGGGTCGCTTACGTACAAAATCAACGTTACTTGTATCAGTAGGTCTCCCTTCAGCTTGAGACTGTGATATTATAAGTTCATGACTTCGAACCAATTCAATTGTCTTCTCTAGAGTTAGATCACACGTCATGACAAGTGTCTGAGCTCGCTCTGACAAGTCCCTGTCTTTAATGGAAACAATGATCTTATCACGAATCATTTCGTTCCTGTCAACGAATGAACAATGTTGACTCAGTTTATACAAATCTCGGATATATTCCTCCATTGTTTCTGACTCTCCCAGTTGTCTAAGGTTGAAGACCCTTGTTCATGAATAATGTTTATCTTTGGCACAAAATAGCTATCAAGTTTGCCCAAAACGGCATCAAAATTGTACCTGTTGTCTGGCGGATCAGGTATTGGGTCATCTTCAGCAACTGGTAAGGGCTCAGACGTAAACTGTTTGTATATGTCCTCTGCGGATTGGCCCATAATATAGATAAGTTGACTGACTTGTGTAATGTCATCCTCTTTGTTTAGTTTTGTGGCTAGCCTAAACCTCAGGAACCTTTCTCTCCAAGTAATCCACTCATTCGGTTTATCAAAGTTAAAAGGGTTTGGAGGCTGTATCTTGGCCATTATAATAATCCAAAGATGACAATATAATCACGATAGTTAATACACAAGAGCAGAAGTACAGTTCATAAGTTTACAAATATCAGTTGGATACAGATTCTTACTGTAGTACAGCAGTCCGCGAAGCAATGACGCAATCCATGTCATTTGCATATCTCCGCGAACACCCTGGGTATAGTCTGTCACGTGACTTCATGGATGACGTGTGCGCGAGTGATTCGCATTTTCTTTCGCTTGAGGTTTGTAATCACACTTTTTACATGTTTTAAGATTTTGTATCTCTGTGAAACTTGTCCCGTACCATCAATGTCTGAAGACGATCTAATTCACCAAATATCTCATCCAAGCGTGTCCCGGTTAAAGAGAAATTCGCACTTTTGTGTCTCGCAAAATGACGTGTGCGCGAGTAAATCGAATTTTACGAAGGATGGGTGTGCGAGTCTAAAATATTTTTATTATTCACTTGAGACAATTCTGCAAGCTAAGGCAGAATACAACTCACGTGACATTTGTTTTTGTCATCTTAAAGTAGTATGTTAAAGAATAGTTTGCTATTTTGTAGATGTTTCATGTATGGCACATACATGTCTACGTTTAATGACAATAAATGTTTTGAAATAGCTTGTAGGGCTGTCCGGCATTGCAGGTGAATTAAAATTTGAACCAAAAATTGAATTAAATTTTTGGCGGTCTCATAAAACCGGCAGCATATTCATTTATTGACATCCCATACAAGGGGGGGGGTCAGAGTTGTTATGTGGTTACTCGGCATCCGCCACGATCAGAACCATGTAAGGAATAGTAAGGGGAAGCCCATGATACCAAGTAATATCAAATAATTATAGGAGCTTCTAACTTCTTCCGCATCCCCACCCTTGGTATACGCAGCTGACAAAATGGATCGGTACGGGTCAAAAGCTGGACCGGTACGGGTTAACGGTTTTATTTGAATTTAAAACAGCTATAACTTGCTCAATATTGACTTCTTCGTATCTAAGTTGAAATATATGATCCCTCCGAATGATTTTAAGTACCCCCAAAGTTCACCCGTACAGGTCCAGCTTTTGACCCATACCGGTCCATTTCGTCAGCTGCGTATACCAAGGGTGGGGATGCGGAAGAAGTTAGAAGCTCCTATAATTATTTGATATTACTTGGTATCATGGGCTTCCCCTTACTATTCCTTACATGGTTCTGATCGTGGCGGATGCCGAGTAACCACATAACAACTCTGACCCCCCCCCCCTTGTATGGGATTTCAATAAATGAATATGCTGCCGGTTTTATGAGACCGCCAAAAATTTAATTCAATTTTTGGTTCAAATTTTAATTCACCTGCAATGCCGGACAGCCCTACAAGCTATTTCAAAACATTTATTGTCATTAAACGTAGACATGTATGTGCCATACATGAAACATCTACAAAATAGCAAACTATTCTTTAACATACTACTTTAAGATGACAAAAACAAATGTCACGTGAGTTGTATTCTGCCTTAGCTTGCAGAATTGTCTCAAGTGAATAATAAAAATATTTTAGACTCGCGCACCCATCCTTCGTAAAATTCGATTTACTCGCGCACACGTCATTTTGCGAGACACAAAAGTGCAAATTTCTCTTTAACCGGGACACGCTTGGATGAGATATTTGGTGAATTAGATCGTCTTCAGACATTGATGGTACGGGACAAGTTTCACAGAGATACAAAATCTTAAAACATGTAAAAAGTGTGATTACAAACCTCAAGCGAAAGAAAATGCGAATCACTCGCGCACACGTCATCCATGAAGTCACGTGACAGACTATACCCAGGGTGGCGAAGCAATGGCGTAATCCATGTCGTGTGCACATATCAGCAAAGCAATGATGTAATCTGTGTCGTGTGCATATATCCGCAATAACGTGTCGTGTGCAAAAATGTCACGCTCGAAATTTGCACAAAATTTCCACTGGCAATCAAAGTTCAACACCAAAAATACCTCTAATCTGGTCGCATTCAGACAAGTTTGACATGTCCTACTTATTCTCTGTGGTTTAATCTCCTCGTAGGATCGCATTCCATGTTTGACACCATGTTCTGTTACGTTATATTTCGAATAACACTAAGATATTATTGGCTGACTTTGTCCAGTTTATTTCAATATGGCGTAAGTCCCGATCACCGTCCAGAATGACGTAATACAAAATAAGTATGGCTTGCCAGCCCAACAGTACAATCAGACAAGTACATGACAGTTCAGTGAGCCTTCAGGAAAATTGGTTTCATTTTCATAAGACTATAGTTTCCCTTCCCTTCCAGGGTTAATGGATTAATCTCTACAACTGATGGCTCTTATTCAACAAAAATAATTTGCAAAATAAGTACATATTTATTTGATTGTATAATGTCCCTCGTGTTATGATTAACGTTGTGTTAAATTTTTGGTTCAACCAATTAATTCATTGTAAAGTTAATTGAATTTTTTTATTAGTTGGTTTCCCTCACATTTTAATTCCATTGTTTCTCTGTTACAACAAACAACATTTAAATTCTCCTCTGTAACACAGGCACAAACAACCACCTGTATTCACTTTGCCAAACAAAAAACAGTCATGGCATGGAACTGCTCAATATTCAATAAAAACATTACTTATTTTATACAGACCCGTACCTAAGGACCCCCCTCCCCGTGGCCAACAATTCTTTCAAAATCATATAGTTTTTCACCATTCACATACATGTGTTGACATTCCAGAGCAATATAATAAGTCAAACTTTAATCCCTAATTATTCAATTTCTATGATTTGAGTTTTGTTCACACAGATAAATAATCTGTTTGTTAGAGTTGATGGATTCATTTCTACAGCCGATCTAATTTCAACAGAAAAATAATTTGCAAATTAAGTTTTTCATATTTATTTGATTGTATAATGTCCCTTGTGTTATGATTAACATTGTGTTAAGATTTGGATTAAATTGATTGACTCAACGAAAAGTTAATTTTTATTCAATGGGTTTCCTCAAATTTTTACTCCATTGGGTTTCCTCACAATTTAACTCAATGTTTCTCTGTCAAATTAAGTTTACAAAAACAACACTTAAAGCACCCTCTTATAATTACACAGACACAAACACCTTTATTCACTTCACAAACAACACAAAACATTCATGACACGAAACTGCTATGTTCAAGTAAATCCCCCTCCCTTGCCAAAATTCTTTCAATATCCTACATATTTTTACCAATCTGAGCACTGTTAAGTGATTTTTTGCCAAAATTATCAATTGTGACCCTTTGGTATGTTTTGAAAATTGATCCCCTCAGCTAAAACGTATTACGAGCTTGTAATATATTGGATGTATTGCTCCGATTTCTTCTGACAAATCGCTGATAATAAATTAGGAAACGTGCATTAGGTTAACCTGATACAAGTGGTACTAAGCCATGCTAAAACAAAATTAAAACTTGTATTCTCTCACATTTCACAATTCATGTGTTTTCTGTTATACATATTATATCTGAGATATAAACCATGAATATAAACAACAGATTAATCCATGATGTAATACAACTGGACTATTTCTTTTTATTACAGCTGGTTTTATTAACCTTTCTTTGTTTTCCATTTCCAAATATATATATTCAAAAGGTGCGAGATTCGGTATGTTTAATTGTTTGATAATGAAAATAAAGAGGCGGGGACATTTTACATTTATTCCTTATGTTTCATCTGACGCCTTTAGCAAATTGGTGCATGGTAGAACAAACTGATGTAAATAACATATTGACATACATTATGTCAGAGCAATATGATAAGTAAAACTTTTATCTCCAATTATTCAATTTCTTTAATATGAGTTTCGTTAACACTGATAAATAATCCGTTTGTTATAAGCAATGGATTAATTTCCTACAGCCAACAGTTCTAGGTTCCACAAAAACATAATTTGAAAACTAGGTTTTTCATATTTATTTGATTGTATGATTGTCCATTATGTTATGATTAACATTGTGTTAAAATTTGGATTTAATTGATTGACTCAATGGAAAGTTAATTTTTAATCAATGGGTTTCTTCACATTTTTACTCCATCGTTTCTCTGACACATTAAGTTTACAGCAAACTGCATTAAGGCCACCTCTTACACAGGCACAAACAACCACCTGTATTCACTTTGCCAACCACAAAAATAGTATTGACACACAACTCCTAAAATATCAGCCAAATACATTACGCATTTTATACAGGCCAATACCTAACGAGTAATAACCCCCTCCCCTTGGCCAACAATTCTTTCAAAATCATGCAGATTTTCACCATTCACATACATGTATTGATGTCAGAGCAAGTAATATTTTAATCACTTTGTCTTTTCAAGTCTATGAAATGAGTGTTGTTCACTGATAACTATTAATATCAAGAGCCGATTGTTCTAATTTCCACAAAAAATAATAATTTGCAAATTAAGTTTTTCATATTTATTTGATTGTATAGTGTCCCTCATTCTATGATAAACATTGTGTAACTCATTGGAAAGTTAATGTTTTGATTTTTAATTGATGACTTCTTTTCACATTTTCACTCCATTGTTAACGTTAATTTAAATCATTTATTTCTTTCTTCTTAATATTTATTTTGTAAATATTTTTCAAATAGAAATAGAACAATGAAAATAAAATATGTGTGACATTTTTAAGTAATGGAGATGAGAAGGCCAGTAGAACAGTTGATCCTATTAACTGCCATGCTGTGCATTCTTTGTTTTTTGTTTGGTTAAGTAATTAACCAGATGGGATGTACATCAAGTTGGACGAGAATAATCGCGTATAATATTTTCAGAACCCAAATAATACATTATAATTTGATATATTCTGTTTAGATTGGAAAATACTAAAAAAATTAATATTTTTTAGAATAGAAAAATTCTTATTTGGATCTCACTTATTTCTAATTATAGTATATTAATCTCTATATAATAGAGTATATTATGCTAGTTATATTTTTTCCTCCATAATATAATATAATAATTACAATACTGAATGGAAATACTGTATTATTACCTATCTTTTTACACAAATATTCGAAAATAAAACATATTTTTATATATTATTTTATCGATTTCACCAAGTGTACTGTGAAGGTTTTAATGGAACAAGTTTGAAGAAAAACGGTGTAGTGTGAGACTCAAAATAATTGATTTTCCAAAGACAGGGTCGATTTGAAATTCAAATTAACGGTTTTGCGGGGCGCTTTGGTTTCGAAAAGCCCCGGTGAGTTAGTACCGCGTGGGAAATTTATCTGAAAAATCTTTTTCACCAAGCAATTCGCCTCAAAACAGTCCGAATAGGCGTGTTTTTTGGGAATGATAATGTAAATGAATTAATAAGTGATGCCAGGAATGTAGACACTTCAAGGAAAACAGCCACTGACATCGGCGTTCTCACAACATTTCCGACGGAAAAACAAGAAGTCCGGAACATTGAAACAGTTGAACCAGAAATGTTAAATGACTACTAGGCTTCATTTTTCATCAATGTCAAGCCAAAACATGGGACAGACTATCAGCCAGCAACATTGCAAGCTTATTTTGCAAGTTTTTATGCCCCTAAAACGCAAAAGTGGGCCCAAATTTTGAAATTTTGAGGCCCATTTTCTTCAAAATTTGGCCTGAATTTAAAAAATAAGGCCTTAGAAGGCCCAGTAATGACCAAAAAGGCCGACTTTTTGGGGGCCTTAAGGCCTTTTTTGGCCTTAATTTTTTTTGGGCCCAATTTTTTTTTCTGGGCCCACCCAAGGGGGGGGGCCCGGGCCCCCAGGCCCCCCCCCCCCCCTAATCCGCCAGTGTACATAACCCTTATATATTAAATTTTCCTGTTTGCTACCAGGTCACGATTACCACGTAGATACGCTCAATTCCAATAATTTTTGAATAATTATGAATTATACAATTTCAAAAGTATTTGAGAAATTATCACTCAGTTTTCACCACATGTAAACAATGTGATAATAAAAGTTATAATTTTTGGAAGAAAACTTGTATGAAAATGAAGAGACTAATACGTTTTTCAAGAGTTACAAAGTGTTGATTTTTGAACGATATCATTCTTGTATCGTGCGTGTTTAAACAATATATAGATCACTGCATGCAATACTATCTATGGTTATTTTATCACAAGAGTATGATAAGCCCTATAGACTAGAATCAGAGGGTTGAAAATATCATGACGTCTTATATTTTGACGAGCCGGCAATTCATGTTTACCAATAGAAAGGTAAAGGGTTCCTAAATTGGTACTGAGATTTAACAAGAAGAAATAGGTGTCAAAATGTGTTTTTGGGTGAAAAGTGTTTTTTGCAGAAAAAAATTTAAAACCAAAAAGATTTTTTTTTTGAAAATTTGTTTTAATACAAACAGTCTGATTAACTATAAAAAGTGAAAATAAACCATATTTGATTGCTTTTGGAGATTTTTGGGAGCTTTTAAGGAATTTGCTTGTGGTTGGCCCATAAGTGAAATAAATTGTCAATGTAATATTTATATGCATTAATAATAGAGATATTATTAAGGTTTACTACTCGAATTTGCACTTCACCAAGAAAAATAATATATTTTAATTAAATTTTATTTCATACTTCATTGTGCCACATTCCAGTTCATATGTTGTATTACTCAAATGTTCATAGAAATGTATTTTATTGCGTTTGAGTCACGTAGTACGAATTAGCAAGAAAATGATTTCTATTTGGTCGTTTAACGTTATGAAAATAGAACGGTAATTGTGAATGCAGTATTACTGAGTGAACGGTGTATGTATTCGTGAATAAGATCACTTCGGCTCTAAGCGGCGAGATAAACGGACGTTAGTTACTAACAACTCAGAATCGTCACCTTGAAAATAATACGGCCATGCAGGCACAAGCCTACTGAAGGAATTCTCGGAAACAAATCCCAACAAACGGAAAATAAAATGAAGCTAAGAATAATCACTCTAAACAGAAAAACTTTCTATCAATTCAAAGAAAAAAAAACAACAACATAATTTGGAAGAAAAATGGGCACAAACAACAGTACATAGACAACAAAGGAATTGACGAGAAAGCGGACCATGCATTTGCAGAACAAACGGCCATTTGTATGAGGCATGCATAGTTTAGAAAAAGGGTAAGGAACTTTTGTCAGATTAAAATTGAAGTAATCATTTAAGAAGACCAGAGCGGGGCTGGTTGTGATACTTTGGCAGGATACCAAAAGCTAATTTATGAAGGTTACAAATAAATATAACAAATACAAAGAAACCTATATTATCATATCATTATCTGTAAGTTGATTAATCTTATTCAATGAATATAAGCGATTATTTTATGTAATCTATAATCTTTTAAGTAGATAAATAGATACCAATCAGTCAGTGAAAGTTTCAGGCAAGATGACCGCACAAACAATGATGGGGAAAATGAAGCAGACAAAGAAGCTCATCGATGGTTCAACAAAAAGAGGGGATTTATTACGGCTGCGGAATTATAGAAAGACAATCTGCTAAGTGGGTATTACAAGAACCAAAACTGCACAACTAGGGGCACACCAAAGACTAAAAAGATAAGTACTAATATACCTGAAAAGGAATTTGTTAAATGTTGGGGATAGTCTTGAAGAACATGCTAGTTTTTGGCTTTAAATAGAAGAAAATGATAAATGTAAATAACTAAGTTTAACATGTATATATGTTAAGATTTTGAAAAGGAAAAACCTATCAAGTAATTTTAAGAAGAATATATATGCTTGATGTAAAATGTAAAAAATGGCTTAAAGGATGTAAAACGTAGTACCAATAATAGGAAACGGTAAAGCGTGAACGATCTAATGATGGGATTGTAATATACAGCTGTACATGATAAGGGGGAATTGGAGTACCCATAATAAAGGGGGATTACCTATGAGAAAGCAATCGTAGTGTCACATAGATGGGGTATCGTAGTACCCATGATTAGAAAAGATTTAGTATCAATAATCGAGGGTATTGTAGTAAGCACAAAAGTAACAGTTTAGCTCTCAATATAATGGCAAGTTAGAATAAATGACCCCTGAGAGTGGTACCTTGGTAAAGGTGAGTGTGGTAATATTCATACCACACGAAACAGTCAAAACATGATAATATAGTACTCATATATTTTTATTGAGAGAAATATTTACTATTAGTTAAAGGAGGAAGCGAAATATGAATGTTAAGTAAAAGGCTGAATTGAGACAGTAAATCAAATGAAATAATGAAAGATTGATAGTGTAATTCTCCTTCCAATTATATATTATACGTTTAAGGATACTATATGAAGGATGGCATTGGTAAAATTGACTTGCCGTTTGCACAGAGCATAGTGGAAATGATGCACTGGATTGTTAAAATGTTCAGTACACAACCGTAATAATATGTATTTTGTCTTTGATATTAAATGACTTTGAATATATCAAAATGCTATAATGGTTTTCAGAAAATAGCAATAGTACTTTGTTAAGATTATATAAATGATAACAGCTATCGGCAATGTTGACAGGTTGATGACAAAATGTTTATCTATAGATATCAAAGAAACTCAAAGTTGGGACTGCTACATGTATATTTACTGTCTAAAAATGCAGAAACACAACAGTTTTGGTTTCAAAATTTGACAAAACTGAACGGCAAGGTCGTATCAGAGTCTCCAAGAAAAAGGTATTTGGTATCTTCAGATGCTAGAGATTCAGGTTGACGGTTATTCAGTGACATGTGAATCAAAAATTTGTTTCAAACATTGACAGAAACTTAATGAAAATGAGTGGATCGAACTTAAAAAAGGGTGTTCTGATGGTGGTTAGAATCATTTCTGCACTTGTTTCGGAGGAGAGTCTCTAAAATGGTTTATGGATAACAAATATTTTGAAATTATTGTGAATATGGGTATCCCAAAACCTCATTTGCAAAGTCTAGCTGCTAGAAAATTGGTAGATTACGATGACTGGGGAATCAAAAGTTTTTTGACAATTTAAATAAGATACAGTCAGTTATGTTAGTCTCAGGTCACACTGTTGATCGTTTTGAAAATCAAAACAAAAAGAAATTAATTTTGTCGACGCATTCTCATAGAACAGGGGCGCAGATTTAAGCAGAGTATTTTCAGCAGTAAAACTTAAGAAATGCAGTCAAATACATGTATACGCAATGCACAAAAAGTTCAGGTACCGGTTGATAGTTTCAAAAATGGCAATCAGCTATTTCTTGGCCAAGTATACACAATGGTACAACATTTCGTCCCTTTATCAAACAAGTCATTGAATACAATGGTTCATTACTTAACCGGGATTAAAAATGGAGTCAACATTTCAAGAAACCCATTTCAGAGGTACGAATTATTTGCATTGAAAATATGGTCTAAGTGAAAGACTGAAATTTTACAAAATGTTAAATTGACAATGAAGAGATGTGAGAGAAAAATATTAGAGGCTGTTTAGATTGTAGAAAAAGGCAAATCTTAAGGGAATTGCAGTGACCAAGATAAATGGAACTATAGTACTCATGAAAAGTGAAATTTATAAAACATAATGATAAAGAAAATTTGAAGCGCCCAAGATAGGGGGAATAGTACTAAACATGATACGGGAAATTGTAGTATAAAATGACCAGGGGAATTATAGTACCCATGGTAAGAACATTTGTAGTGCCCACGATAAAGGGAATTGTAATACCCATGATAAGGGGAATTGTAATACCCATGATAAAGGGACCCATGATAAAGGGAATTATATTTTCATGATGAGGGGAATTGTAGTACCTATGATGAGGGGAATTGTAGTACACATGATAAGGAGAATTGTAGTATATTCATGATAAGTGGATTTATAGTACCTATGATAAGGAGAATTATAGAACTCAATATGAAGGGAATTGTAGAACCCATAAAGGTAACTTTTACTGCCCATGATAAAAGGGGAACTGTAGTATTCGAGAATTGTAATACCCATGATAAGGGGAATCATAAAGCAAATGATAAGGGGAATTGTAGTACCAAAGATAAGGGGAATTGTAGCACCAAAGATAAGGGGAATTGTAGTACCCAAGATAAGGGGAATTGTATAGTACCCATGATAAGATTGTAGTACTCATGATAAAGGGAATTGTAGTACCTTAGATAAGGGGAATTGTAGTACCCGAGATGAGGGGAATTGTAGTACCCGAGATGAGGGGAATTTGTAGTACCCGAGATGAGGGGAATTGTAGTACCCGAGATAAGGGGAATTGTAGTACCCGAGATGAGGGGAATTGTAGTACCCGAGATGAGGGGAATTGTAGTACCCGAGATGAGGGGAATTGTAGTACCTGTAATAAGGAAAAGCGAAGCTTTCACTATAAGCAAATTGTATTACTCGTCATAGTGGTAAGTTGTGGTTTCACAAGTGAAAATCTAGAACACATGCATAAGGAATTGAAGAAAACGGTAAGCAGTTTTATGCGTAATACATGAAATAACAATAATTACACAAGAAAAGTATTTTCATTTCATAAGAAACATTTATAGGTTATATACTTTTGCTGGGGAGAGTTTAAGGTACAAAAGGTCGGAAGGAGACATGTCTGTGAATCACTGGAGTAATGATACTGTTTTCTTTTTTATTGTAGAAAATAAGCTAACATAGCAGATATCTGGATGGCGCATTGTTAAATGGCATATATTGTATTTGGCATATGCATGTTTTGTTGTCTTTGTAATAAAATGAGATTGAGTATATATGTTTGAAAAGTACAGATACTGGTTTTCAGTGGCTACCAAATCACTCAATGAAAAACGACAACTTGAGCATCCAGATTTAAGACAGCTTAAAGAGAAGCTTCCGGGTGTGGTTTAGGCAGCAAAGCCACAAGCACAATAGGGTCATACGGCAGTGCTTTCGACAGACGGTCAACGTGCGGGTAAACAATTGTCCCGAAGTATGTATTTTATCAGCTAAGACATGATTTTTGAAAATCATTGACATTAGACAGTAGTGGAATCAGCCTAACGAACACTAGCGAAACCGACTTCTAATAAACACACATTTACAACATAAATGATACAGTTTTTTATCAGATCACATGTTAATTCAGATTTGTTTAAAATTTGAGTTTACATTTATCATAGCTCTTGGTTTAGCAAGGTTTTCTCAGATTTGATGATATTTGTCATATTAGAAATTCAGACTGTTGTTTTATGACACTAATATTTGTATCAATATAAGATATTTAAAAACAGTATATAAGAAGGTAGCAAGTGCGTCATTGTAGCAACATGCTCAGATTTTTGTCCAGTAACTTTATAATATAAGATGGTTCAAAAGAAGCAAACATAAGCAATGAAAATTCGTTTTTAGAGCAATTTTATATCACAAATCATATGGGTTAAAGTTTAGTGATAAAGCTATAAGCTACACAAGTTGCAGATAATTTATTGTAAAGGCATTTAAGTCATGTGGTGACATGGTACGTTGTTTAGAACGCAATATTTAAGACCCCGCGGTGCAACAATGGCCGCAAAGAAAGGCATTTCAGATAGGAGACTGTTAAAGATGGTTTTATCCAGCACACGTTGTAAAAAAGGATATAGTGTTTCAAAGAATTTAGGATTATAATTATAAAACCTGTATTTTAAGATTTTTGTATTTTAAGAATCTTACTCAACAGTTTATGTAAATGTCTGTGCTTAATAATCAATATAATTTTCGCTTACTTTAACACTTCACGCAGCCGCAGAGCCACATGCTAGTAAATGTTATGTTTCTTAAGTGTGAGTTAGAATAGAAATGTATTTTATTGCGTTTGAGTCACGTAGTACGAATTAGCAAGAAAATGATTTCTATTTGGTCGTTTAACGTTATGAAAATAGAACGGTAATTGTGAATGCAGTATTACTGAGTGAACGGTGTATGTATTCGTGAATAAGATCACTTCGGCTCTAAGCGGCGAGATAAACTAAGTAAATGTCTTTAAAAGGTAATGAAAATTTTTCGGACAAACCTTTTTCCTTTAACCTCAATTGTTGAGGATTTCGAAGATTTTTAGCATCATGTTCTCAACAGAATAATAATGGGCATTAATGAGTGTGTGATGCTAAAGATAGAAAAGGTTTTACAGGTGGTCGGAAATTTTTTAAGTTTGAAAATGAGATTTGTTATTACTACATTATCGAGTAAGCTAATCAATTGTCCATTATTAACATTTTTGTATATTTTCCAGCGGCGACGCAGCCGCAGATCCACATTTTGGCAACCAGCATGTACATACGATAACATTATTGTACAAATAATACACTCGGTTTTTCTGCAGCACGCAGCCGCAGAGCCACATGCTAGTAAATGTTATGTTTCTTAAGTGTGAGTTAGAATAGAAGTAAAATATTCGAATGTGGTGTATGTCACCATGAATGTATACTTTAATATATCCTCAAAACATTTGCAGACACGATGGTTGGTTTACTATTAATATAAAATGGATATTTAAACATATAATGTTATGTGGAAACATATATATTGTCACTATCATCATCACAGTCTGTCATCGACTATTTTGAACAGTGAGGTGGATCAGGTCATTTTTACAAGTTTCAATGTTTCCGCACAAATTGTTATTTAACTGAAATCTACTTCTTATTCTCAAATAAAATTAACCAGTGCAAGCAGTGACAATTGTCAATCATACTTCTGAAAGACATTCGTAAGAAACCTTTAATGACTGAATACGTTCAGTTAATGAAAAAGGAGTGAACATCCTCCACTCAAAACTATCATTTTCCCTTATTAATTTTTAACGTTTTTAGCGGAGTCTTTTGTTTATTATTTTGAGTGATAGTCTGCGATTAAAAAGATTCCTTGCTTCAAACGATTATGTCTTCTTTTATTTGATTAAAAAAACTATGAACAATGGGGGAGAGCAAACAATGGGGAGCATGAATTTGGACAGCCTTAGCACATCAGTCATGTAGACAATACCAAGTGGCTTTGTAGCTTGGTGCATCAAAATATCTCTTCTAAGTTGCAGTGTGTGCACCATCTCCTGAAATGGTATTTTGCTGCACCAATGATATAGCAGGATAATCAATAGTCTTGATCAGCATAGTTTACGGGTAAAATAACAGTTTATGCCATACCACATACCTTATATAATAGGACAATTAACTTGTAGAACTTTTTTTATGCGCAGCTCTAATGCTTTTCGCAATTGCAAATGGTCCTAGATTTTTGTCAACTTATTGTTTAGAATCACCAGCTAATGCATAGTATATTTCTGTCACAGCTGACAACTTAAGAACATGTTCGTCTTTAGCAGCAGAAGATAGCTCACTTGTGAGAGAATGTAGCATGTCAAATAATACCGGTGCTAGTGGAAGACTTCTTCATATCACTTTTAAATTTGAAAAAACAGACTTAGTGATCTATACATTAGGTCATTCATATTATCTAGTCTTACACCCTATGATGGATGTACCATTGAGAATTACATTACTGATTTGTGTGTACTCATATATTGGAAGTGTATTGTGCCATTTTTACTGTTCTGGAGTTATACCTTTCCCATTGCTGAAAATGTCATAACATTTATCTGTTATCTTATTCTGTTTGGATGTTATGCATCAATCATCTTTTCTTCAATATCCCTATATTGTGTACATTAATTTGTTATTTGTGTTGAGCATTTCATAAAGTTAAACAGAAGACACATCCTGTTTTCTCTGTTTTATGATATATTGAGATGAGATTTATGATAGTTCCCATTAACTGAACCAATGACTAACAAATCTGATTTGATAGGGAGATTATTGTGTTTAGTGATTATTGGTACTAGTTCAATAACTTTAATCAAACCAGATAAAGTACAATCTGTATGAAACCAGTGTGCAAAATCCAAAACACTGATTGGTTGACAGGGCTCCAGCCTGGCACATTGACAAGTTGACCACATTTATTTATGTTGATCAACACTGACTGTATATGTTGAACTAGTTAAGAAATGAGAAATATTATTTTAATTAATTGTCAAATTAGTGCCTTTTGACACCTCGTTCACCATGTTAAATCTCACAAATCTTTTCTTATACATAAAGGAGTATTTTGATACAGGTCTCTCGCCGGCTCGTTAAAATATAAGTACTTTCACTTTCTAGAGGCTTTTATCATCATATGATTCTAGTCTACTATGTTTGCAACTGTTGTACAGATGCTCCATTACTTTTCCAGATGAATGTGATCCAAACAAGGTGAAATATCAATTCGGCCATTATGGTAGCGTTGATATACCAGACGTTTGCTACTATTATGAATGTACATCTGCAAAGAGGTTTGAGAGAAAGAAATGTCCTGATGGAATGAGTGTCAGCGATGATTTTAGAGATTTATGGTTTAGATATGGCAAGGGGCAATCCGAATACCCCTGCACTAAACCAAATCCTAACTGCAAGACATCATCAAGTGACAAAGGCATAAGTAGGTCATCATGATATAGGGGTTATTTAAATGGAGAGATTGAATATAAATTCTATCCCTGGGGAAATGTGATATCTTGACCGAGGGCAATAGCCCAAGTGTCAATATGATATTTTGCGGGGCCAATATCATAATTTGTCAAGGGAAAATTCGTATATATTCCACCACGACTATCAATAACCTATTTGTTCAATAATATTTTTCTGAAAAGTATTTGTTATGAAGTTATGTGTATCAATACCCAATAATGGTGACACAAATTGATAAAATTTAATCCATCATATAACATTTTCAACTTTAAATTAACACATTTGAAAGTAGAAATGATTTATAATACTAATATGAGGCATAATATTGTAACCGGACAAAACGGAGAGGGACTTTTAAACAGAGCCGGTGAGATTCGAATACAGAATGCAACACATATGTAACACGCATGACAAGCAATGTAAGATATATATATATCTTTTATTGACTCTTTAGATGTCATATCATGACATATTAGTCACTAAGGTAGAGCAGTTCTTCCCATTGTCGAGTTGAAGAACTTGTATCTTTATCCTGGCTAGAACCACAGACAATTCTAGCCAGCGCCAGCCTTTTATCGAGTTAGCAGCACTCTAGTAATCGCCAGTATAGGTAAAATATATGTAGATGTTTATTTACATAAAGTCAACAGAGTCTAAGTAGTAATATTGCACTGTCATCATATACATCATTCAAAGTAGACTGCCGTAGATGCAGCTTAAGAATCCCTTTCTTGGTCTTGGATTGTGTTATCAGTTCTTGAATGGTGGGGGAAAGGGGGTATTTGACATTGTTAGACATTTTCACGTTCGATCATGGTTTTGGGATATATGGGGTTTGTTTTTCTTGACTAGTATACACTTAGAGTTTGCTTTTTCTCGCTAAGTTCCATTACAACTGTTGGTCCTTTCCCTTTGTCACTCGTGCTTAGATATTTGCCCTGTGACTCACTCGATGTTGAATATGATGATCCAAACATCCAAAGTCTGGAGTCGCTGAGCTAAACGGTTTTCGTTTGTCGCAAAAATTGACCTCATTTAACTACGCCATCTGGCGAATGAATCATTGTTTTCGTGTATGATTCGTTGTTTTGTATCACGTGACCTACCTTTAGACATTTTGCCACCTATCGTAAGTTAATCGAATTAAAATCAATTTTTTCGATCCAAGAAGAAAATTTGCACAAAATTTATAAACACCGCTTGACATAATCTTTGTCACTCTATCGTCTTCTTGATGAGACACATCGGAACTTTGGATTGATAGCCATTCAACCAAGCCACAAAAGTATGTATATTAGTTGTTCAACATGTACAACTGTGTTAATATTCCCGGGCACTCGGCCTTTTAATATTGTAGAAAAATTATTTCTAGTTCTAGCATCTCAATGGTCTTACTCTCATCAAATTCTAATCCAGATACGAAAATCGGTAGCTATTCAAATACAAGATTACCAAAGCCTTTCACATTTGATCTTGTTTCATCAGTTTATCCTGCTCGATACATTTTTCAAACACTGATCAGCACTGATATACTTACAATGCTAATATAAATTAATTGACAAGTCGTAAAATTAGCACATTTTCTTGAATTTTAACATTTAATGTCCCAAACTCCCCCTAACTGCAAAAAAGTATACACCGTTAATCATATTTCGTCGCATGAGAATAACTTTGTACTATCTCACATTTTTACGGAACTGAGATATCAAGGTTTGAAAGTTTAGAGGTCTGTATCTTACTTAGTATTGCTATGTGAAACTTGATTTTTTGTATGTCACCTGGTCTCACCCTAGAGATATCTTATATGAATATCACACCTTGAAACAATTTACAAGATCCTTTTTTAAAACTATGGAAATGGAGTTGATACAATTTCCCACCGGAATAACAGCTTATTTCTAATTTCAAATTGTCATATCTGATATCAACTGTTTCAACCAATCAACTCTCTAAGAATTGGTCATGTGACTTGCAAAACTTGGAGTTATAACAATCTTATATTAAAACAAAGTATGCCAATATGCATGTTATTGTATCTAGAATGAAAAATAATGTTTTGCTTTGTAAAAAAATCTTCAAAAACCAAAGAATATTATTTAATAAAATAAAGAAAATTCAATTTATAAAACTTTAAAATCAATTTCTCAAATAAGTACAATTATTTCTAGATCTTAATTTTGGAATCTCAGGACACCCTTCAAAAAGAATTTATTGCCTTTGAAACTAAGGCAGAAGTACAATGCATTGAAACCAATGATGCCAATACGGTCCCCCACATATTTCCCTCGGTATAAACCCTGTAGCCTAAACCTCCCAGCACATTACAATGTAGCCCCTATGGGGCCGGTCCGCTGGTCATTATCAGGTTATTTTTGATACAGACCAGTTGATTTTTTCACTGGGTATAGGAGAATAACATTGCAACTGGTCCGTAATTCCATTTTGACCAGCAGGTTTCAGATCCTTAGGGCCTAAGACATAACCAATTTTTATTACATGCACATGGAAGAAAGAGCGAGGGAAAGTATCGCAACAGATTTTTGATAATTTTGACAGTTGATAATTTTTTTGTGAGTAGTTTCTGGCTGTAAAAAGTAAATGCTTGGGAAAGGCGAATCTATAATCTTCAAGAAAAGTTAAAAGAATAGTTTCCAGATCAATTGGATTATCTTATAATCCATGTTTAATCCACCCATCAACAAGCTTTTTCAAAATACATTCGTCATTTTCACCATCGTCCCTCATTTTTTTACAATTTTCATGCAAAGTTACATTGTACTTGAACACATGTTTCATCACTTAAAATATATAAGGAACTCCTCGTGGATTAGGATTATGATAATCCAATATAAGGGGATCCAATGGGGCTATGCTTTTAGTACAGCACACTCATATAAGATGTCATTAGTGTGCCATAAAGTTAGTTCAAAATGTTTTCATAAATGAATGGTTGGACTTGTTTGATCCCCTGCTGTTTAAATCCCCTGTTTAATCAATGGAGCATAACCGCAGCATTTCCCAAAAAATCTGAATACCTGTCAAGTTGACTGTTTAATGTTTGAGTGCAGTTAAACCTGTGTGTGTGTGTAAGTTGCTAAGAAATTCTAAATACCTCTCTTTATGATAATTTCTATGATGCCTCATTATAGCATTTACTTTGAACAGGTTTTCTGTATCTTGTTTATCAGTAATGATTCACGAGGTACAGTGCTATTAAAATCATAAATACAGTACAAGAATTTAGTACATCATACCTTTGCCAATAATTTTAGTAAGACAAATATTTTGATCCAGCTTCTGAAAAAACATTGAACATGTTTCTATATGATGATGTGTTATAACACACTTCCTTATTTGAGTTTATCTCCAGATTGATTATTCAAATAATGAAATGAAGGATGATATGCTAAGAATAATTTTTGCATATTCATCAATTCAAGAAATGTTATCCTAAGAAAATGTTATGAGTAACATACACTCTTACCTTAATGTTAACATTAGGGAGATTAAGCTTGCATATAAAATCAAAACGCCAACCTATGACCAATCGCCCATACAAATGCATCGCTAAATATTTTCCAGTCACATTTAGGTTGTCAAAAACATTGCAAGCTTAAAGTCCCTATTGAGAGTCTCTGAAAACCACAATCAATACCATTGAGTGTGTGGTGTATACTACCTTTATCATTATTTCTAAGATTTACAAGAACATCTTTTTAGCAAAATGTCCGATTTTCTTCCATATTAATGTGAACAAATATAAACAAACATAGAATGATTCTATTGGTTGAGTCAACAATTTCAGTTATTAGGGAGGTTAAGATCGCACTATTTTGATGAACGTACACATGGAATGTGTAAACTTATGGTCCCTTATTCACGGTGTTATAGCATGACGGTTACGTCAAGGCGATTTGCAAAATTTTGCGGTAACGATAACAAAAAATGGCGGATGGGAAAGGCAGCATGTCCTCTTTCTCGCCTGTAGGCAATATTCACAGATAAGATTTCCTTTTAAACTAGTTCCATTCGGTGACGTATATATGGATGGTTATAAAGACTGGGTCAAATCTGCCAGGTGGTCTACAAGAAACAGAATATAATCTGTAAGCCTACCGACTGAGATATCAAAGTTTATAATATTTGGTCCATTCTCGTGTTGTCTCAGTACATGAGCCACTCAAAATATTAACTGTAAGTATAAGTAAACTGTGTATAACTACTGCAAATTCAAAATACATTATTATGGCTTGAGTAGAACATATTAGGTGGTTTCCAATGCTCAATTGGCTTTGTATGATCGTATGTAGGTTACATCTATATACCACACGGTTTTTAGGCAATGTAGACCATGCCCTAACAATAAAAACAAAAATAAACAAATTACTAAATTTTTGTGTAGTTTTGAATTTCAAACTCGACAGTTTTTCTCTTATTTCATGTTATCCCCGGGCATCAATTTGCAAAGGCTACGTTCAAAATATACATTACTGAATGTATCACCGAATGCGATTCTTACATAAATCGTTCATCCTTTCATTGATACACAGAAGTAGAAAATAATGCGCCAACCTTAGTTTTCTCTTCCATCGCGGCCATTTTATTGGATAAATCAGTGAACGTAGCTGTCAAACCTCGTTTTCAGAGGTGGCGTAACCGTCATGCTATAACACCGTGCTATTGACTATTTTCACATCACTGGCCTCTTTTTGCCTGATTGATATAATGCCAATTGATGTAATGGTCCCCAGTTAAACCAGTTGAGAGATGAACAACATTACTGGGGGTCATAACAGTACTCGTTCATGTTCAAGTTCTCACACAAGTGTTTTACACAGTCTGTAGCCAGCTTTTACCAAGGGGTAGGA